CAATGATTCGAATTACAAAAATAATATATATCTAAAAGCAAATTAAATTTTATTTATTTTTTTGAGTTAACATTTTCATCTCATAAATATTCAATTAATACACATCAAAATTCAATATCATAATCCAAAAACAAGTTAAGTTTCATTTTAGATACAACATTATTCACATTTTAGTTTCTATTAACTTTTATTTATAATAAAACAAATTAATTATATAATTATAATTTACAATTTATAAATACAAAATAACTAAATTATAAATTTAATAAAAAAGATTATTTAGTATGTGAAACTACTAATCTGTATATAATAATAAATATAAAAGTTAAATAAAAAATATTAATATTTAATTATACAGATTTATTTTATTCACCTTTAAAATAATTTTATCTATTTTTTAATATTTTAATATTGAGTTGGAAATAAAAACACTCCGTTTTTATGTTTTGATAATCGGATTAAAGACACGTGGCCAACCTACTGAACCTTTTATTTCACTAACAATATCAATTGGGTAAAGAAATGGGTCTACAAAGCTGCGAAAACAATGAAACGGACTCCACCTAGCTAAGATGACTCCTTGGTGTTCCCCACGACGTGACGCTGTCATCTCCACCACACCCCCCCACCACCACTTCCGGCACCAACACCGACTGAATCATCACCGTCGGCTTTTCCGCCGGCAAATTCGGCACCAACCCACCTTGTAACATCTGCACCACCTCCTTCATGATGGGTCTCATCTGGTAATTTGGATGAACACAAATCAACCCAACCGTTAACATCATCTCCATATCTGTACTGTTAAACCTTCCCATCAGTCTAGGATCTGCACCACTCACCAATGTCTTCTTCCCCCACAGATCCCACACCCAATCCGTCACCACCATGCCGCCCTCATCCACCGCTGGCCGCCCTGACGCCACCTCCAGCACCACCACCCCGAAACTGTACACATCCGTTTTCACCGTCGGAACACCGGAAAACACGTATTCCGGCGCCAGATACCCGATCGCCCCCGCCTGCAAAGTAACATCCCGTGCCCTCGAGTTATGATCGTAAAGCTCACCGATCCCGGAATCGCCTAATTTCGGGGAGAAATCGGCGTCCAACATTATGTTACTGGTTTTTACGTTTCGGTGAATGATCGGTTTCTCGCATTCCTCGTGTAGATATACTAGAGCTGATGAAACTCCGAGTAGAATCTTGGATCTCGCGTCGAAACTCAGTGAGTTATTGGCGGGTGTTGGGTGGTGAAGAATCTTGTCGAGTGATCCGTTTGTGATGAACTCGTAAACCAGGATCAATTCTTTCTTTTCACAACACCATCCTTGAAGCTGGACTAGATTCCTGTGTCTTAACGAACCCGCCATTTTTACAAATTCCGTAACGAACTGACCTTCGAACGAGCTGGTTTTGTTAGCGTTGATGAACCGTTTCACCGCCACATTCCCGCACGACGGCAAACTGGCTTCGTACAGGATCGCCGACACCCCTTCGCTCACGATCTGATTCCGGCAAAACCCTTTTGTGGCTGATCGAATCTCCGATAGTTTCAGTCTTCTCGGCATTCGATTCTCTTGAAACCTGCTACTACAGATTTGGGGTTCTTCTGTGGGTTTTTTCGATGGGTTTCTTCTCTTCATGAAACACACATACAACAGTACAAGACACACAGTTAAAAGAATCAAAATCACATTGAGACCCAACAATCCAAGAGCTAATTCGAGTACCCTTTTGTCTGAATAATGATGATGATTCGATGAACCCTTTTTGTCTTCTTCATCCTTGCCGGAATCCTCTGGAAAACATATCAAACAGTTTTCCGATTTTACAGTTTCCACTTCGATATTTGGAGGCACAGATTCAGAGGTTTTTAATCGCCAGTTATCGATCAAATGAGTCGCAGATCCTCTTCCATTAGAAGCAGAAAAACCTACATACATAAACCCATTGAATCTCTTGGAAATATCCAATGGCGCCACGAGAATCGGATTTTCGGGTTTGATCTGGGTGTATCCAACCCAAATCTGGATGATCTTTTCAGAGTTTCTGTATTCAATCCAAGCAGTTATCCTTTTCCCACTCTTCAAATCTATCCCAGTCGACATTAAATCAACCGAAGCTATAGAAAAAATCGAATCCACATCGATCCCAACATGATTATCGTTGATATCACCAAGACCCTGATCAAAACTGGTATCAAATTCAACTGCCAAGAACGAAGAATCAGATAACTGATCGATGGATTTAGGTAAACCAATACACCCAACTGAATGTGGCAAAGAGTTCGAATCGGAGGTGATCAAGAACGCTACTCCTTCACCTGCGAGACAGAGAGGCGGCGGAGGGATGATGATGAAGGAGAAACGGGTGGAGAAAGAGACGGTGGAATTGAAGGAAGAATCGAGAAATCGAATTGGGTTTTTGTAAAATACTCGTCCGATATTTGAATGCTGTGCATTTGAAGTACAGTTATGGAGATTTTGAGTGAGGATAATGGAGGTGTGATTGACATCGGCGGTGCCGTAAACGGTGAAGTTTAACGGCGGTGATGAAGAAGCGATAATGGAGATGAAGGATGAGAAGCAGACCAAGAGAAAATGGAGATTAATAATCATATTTCCATGGAGTTCAACAAGAATGCAGTCGATCGATCGAGAGAGAGAAAGAGAGAGAGAATTGGTGGAGAAAGTGTGGCGGGAGAGGTTAATTTTTTTATTTGATTTTTATGCTTAATGTTCTCCATATATCAAATATATTCAATATAATTTTTAATTTTTCAGAAATATATTTTAACTTACAAGAGGTTTCTCGCTTCAAAGTTTGAACTCTAAATCACTTCATTGAAAGTATCTCGTATTTTATTTGCATTTCATCGATGTACTTGAATCTACTTCTCCTCATCTTCTTCCTACATGTGTTATGCTTCTCCCTATCTCGGCACTTCCGAGTTAAGCATATGTTCATCGAGTAGCCATCAGATAGTTATTGAAAACATCGATATAATAAATCAAGTGATTGTCAAATTGTTATCAAACACATCGAGCTTGTACAAATGCATGAAAAACAATTGGAAAAAAACCCCAAAGATTGCACCCACAATAAAGTAAGGATCTTCTTGGATTTAGAGTGGATTGAACAATATACCAAACCTATCGAACACATCGAACTCATACATATTTTTGAAATGTATAGTATATTGCTTGAAATTTAAAGTAGATCGAACATTTATCGAAGCCATCAAATATATCAAGCTCATACATATTTCTAGAAATTTATAGTATATTTGTTAGTCCCATTGTCAATGTAGAAGTATTGTAAAAAAAAAAAAGTCTTTAAGTGTCGAGTCTCTAAAAAGTTTCAATGAAAAGCTTCAGAACTTTGGTTAGCCTTTCCAGAGAACCTAGCTACCTCTCAAGTGCTTTATCTGGACTCAACACTTATCCCTTGATCGAGGAATTGAAGACTAGACCTACAATCGTTCCCGCCCCAAAGTGTGTTGAGCACCTTTACACGTGGAAGCTTCCCATTCGATGGTGTTTTGACTTAAAGCTCTAGGGCCTATAAATAGTTCTTTCATTTCCTTGTATTAATAAGAATCCCAAATTAAGCTTTTCTTTTAAAACGCCTTGAGTAGATTAATCCTTGCGATCCTTCAATTGTAATTCTTCTCCAGTGTAATATTCAGATTCTGATTAATACAAAGATGACATGAGTTCATGGTGAAATCTTCTAATTATGTTATTTGTTTATTTGCCAATTGATCATACTTGTGCTTCCACAATTTTATTCTAATCATGATCTAACTTGAGAAATCTGGGATCCAGCAATTGGTATCAGGGCTTGTTGATTGTTTACAATCAAATCAATCTAATTTGTGTAGATCAATTTCTCAATTAATTTGGCAAATTTCTTCAAATCCGTGTTGAACTGACAATTTCTTAGACTTGTTTTTTTTTCATAAAATCATGTAAAAGTGCAATTGAATTCTACTTACACTATGGGATCCCTCACAAAACCTCCAACTCTTGTGTGAGACGAGTATCCACAATGGAAGATCCAATAGTCAATTTCCTGGAGCGTTTGGACGGTAAATTGGCCGAGTTTAATTTGTTGCAAGCCGAGGCCCTTTTAAACCTCGAGCTTCAAACTGAAGACCTCTTGCAGCGTCTTAATGATCTTGCCTCTTCTATTGCTGATGACAAAGAGGGGGATAAAAACCTTCCTAAAGCAATTGCAGATGAAACTGAAGTTGAAGATGTTGATGTCGCTGAGGCTAAAGCTGACCCTCTAGCTGTGATCCCTCAATTTGAGGATGCCATCACATTCAACGAAGTTGAAGCTGATGTTGATGCCGAGGATGATGATGATGTCGTTATAGCTCCAGGTATTAACGAAGACCTTCCTATCACCTCTGCATTAAGTGCTCCTATCACCTCTGCATTAAGTGCTGGTGATGAGGAAGAAGATGCTGATGAAGATCTTCCTCTCCCTGACACTTGACAAGACCTTGGTGATGATGATGATGATGAAGATAAAGATGACAACGTTGATGATGACTTCATGATTCAGTATCACTCAAGACCGGCACCAGCTCAGAAGGGTGTCTCTCTAAGGGAATCTACATCCCAAGGGGAGAAAACTAAAGGGAACCAGCACACCTCAAGCAAAAATAAAGGTGTGGCTGAATAGGACAATCTATATGTCATCTTCAATAAGATAGATCCTACCAAGATCGCCCAGAGCTCTTGGTTTGTCCATTTCTCATCTGAAACTGAAGCCTCCCTTATCCTCAATTCTTTATTGATTTCCCCTTGGTCCTCCAGATGAAAGGATTCCTTCTATTCCAACATCTGGAGCTCTTAACGACCAGCAGATGACTCGGCTGAGGAGTCAAGTTGACCAAACCTAAGTAAAAATACCACTTCTTACCTCTGATTGTGGTGAGATCGACTTTTTCATAGATGCTGAACACGAGAAAACCCTCAAGGCGGAAGAAGAGCTATACGTACAAAGACAATAGACAGAAGACAACTTAAAGCTAGCGAAGTCTCTAGCTGTCAAAGCTCTAGCCAAAGGGAAGCTGAAGAATATAAACCCGATCAAGGCTCAGGCTCAGCTACTCTCCCAAGCTGATGTGAACATCACAGAGCACTGATGTTGAAAGACCGCGACCAGAGATGGTGTGAGGAAAGGATGAAGGAAAGAATAAGTCCCCACAGAATTTCAAACATCACCATCAATGGACGAATAAAGGATGGCCTTAACATCTCCATTGTGATAACCGGATCCTGGTTATCACCTGAGGTAATTGATACATGACTATTTGCTACATGATTTCATGATGACATGATAAACTAATATATTTGATCATGTTAGTATGAGAATTTTTATGCATAGGAATCATATGCATAATATGAAATGCATATGTCATATATATATATATATATATATATATATATATATAGGTATGTATGATATATGTGCATAAAATGGGGGGGTATATATATATATATATCTATACTACATATATAAGCATTTAGACCAATGTCTTAATTACAAGATTTTAAGCACAAGTTACAACCATTTTATGCAAGAATTTCAAAAATCTCTTAATTACAACTTATAAAGCATGATGTACAAGTTGTTTATGCAAGAAAATGCTTCCGACTTGATAGGAATGCTTAAGACCTAACCGGAATGCTTCAGACCATCGTTTTAACTTACAGACTTGTAAAATCCCTTTTCTGTGTCTATTCTCAAGCGCCAAAAACAAAACTAGGTTAGATAGAGTGAGCTTTCTTCTTTACATGCCTCGAATAACTTAACAATTGGAGGTTTTGATGTATCACCTCGATCAAATCGTGGATCTGCTGGAACAGATTTCTGCT